ATGGTTAATAAGAAAATTGTTTAGTATTTTATTGGGTGAAAAATGCTATGAAAAATAAAAAGCAGAGCAGGTGAGGGGGACCAGGACAGTGGGAGAGGGGTGAGCTCCATTGAGAAGGAGGCATCTGAACAAAGACTTGAAGGAGGTGCAGAGATCTGTGGGATGAGCATTCCAGGCAGAGTGAACAGCGGGAAAAGTCCTGAAGGGGAACGGGCCTCGTGTGCTCAGGACATAGCAAGGAAGCCAGCCAGGCCCGAGCGGAGTGAGTGATGGGGAGACGTTTAGAAGATGAGGTGAGGGAGCAGCCAGGGCAGGAGGGCGTGCACACCTGGTAGGCCTTACTCTGTGTGAGGGGGGACGCCTCCGTGGGGTGGAGCAGAGGAGTGACGTGATCTGACATGTTGTAAAAGGACAGCTCAGACTCCGGTGGTGAGAAGAGGCTGGAAGGGAGAGAAGTCAGGTGCTGCTCAGTAATCCAGGCGGTCGATGGTGGTGGACTGGACCAGAGTGGTTGCAGTGAGGGCGAGAAGCATTTGGATTTGGGAATATATTCCGACCCTAGGCTAACAGCATTTTCTGAAGGATTGGATCTGGGTGCGAGAAAGAAAGGATAATGATTAAAGAGGGTTTCTGGGTTTTGGCCTGAGCATCAGGGAAGATTTAGGTGCCAAACGTGAATGAAGCAGGGTTAATGGGCGGGGCAGGGCGTGGGTTCTGTGCGGGACGTGATGAGTCTGCGGGTCTGTTTGCTATCTGAGCAGATGGTTGCATGTATGAGTCAGGAGTTTAGGGGAAAGATGCGGGCTGGGGTGGATGGTGCTGAAGGCCAAGGCTGGGTAAGGTCAAAGGCATGAGCAGAGGCTGAGGAGAGGAGAGAACTAACACGAAAACACTGGGAAGAAGGGGGAGAGGCAGGAGGCGCAGGGGAGGGTGGGCGCCGGCAGCCAGCTGGAGTCCTGCTAGGAGCCGGGACGGGTCCGCTGTTACAGCTTCTAATGGGGCCCGGGAGATGACAGAAGGGACTGTGGGCTTAGCACTGCGAAGGCCGCTGGTGACCTTGACATGTACAA